CTAATGCTACAGGATTAGCTACTACACATACACTAATCTACGCTATGTGTCCAGGCTGACTGCATGAAAATACAATGAATTTATAAATGTAGAGAACTAGAAGATGTGGGGACATTTTGAACAAGTTGCCAAGTAATACCCATTTTCTACAACCAATTAGAACACTGTTTATTAAAACCGTCCACTGTTATGCTGAAAGAAAGTCAAATACTGTCAGGCAATGAAAATTCCTTAAGTTCCATGCTTCCTAAATCTTTAACATGTGAGTGAGCAATTAAAATTCTTGAGCAATCAACACTATTAATCTTATGCCATGACTTGTAATTACAACAAATTTTAAATATCTTCTACAAATTCATACTTCATTCAGACTTAAAAATGAGTATTCAAGGTATTATCTGGGGGAAAAAAAAAGAAAAAAAGTGTATCACACTTGGATTGTCCCCAAGCCTGAGCTGTGCTTCACACTTCACAGGGTAAGCAATTCAGAATAAGATGTACAAGGAAGATTCTATACATCATGAAACAGTTGAACTTGAATTCTTCAGATTTCCATTCAATTCATATCATACAATACAAGGGAAATAATCATCAAAATGCAGTCATAATACCTGTGAAAATGTCTGTTAACATGTTGCATCTTTGTTGTATTCATCTTGGTGAATGAAGGGACAAGGGCATTAAAAAAAAGAGAGGCAAACTCTGACCTAATCAAAAACAAATGTTACTATCTATTTCAGAACTTCATGCTGATAACTGTTTGAATGATGAAGAGCATAACAATAACAATGCTGGGGTTAGCATTTTCATTAATGCATTTTGACAAGTAACTTTTAAATACCGGAGCAGTCAAGTGAATTTTCATAATTGACTCCTGACTAATGATTATAATCAGAGTCTGTAAAATGTACATTCTAGGATCAGACTCCTCGTACAAACACTTCAAAAGAGAGTAGCAACATGTAAATGTCTCATCTTTTCTAGGCATAGAACATTTTACCTCTCGAGAAACAAAATGGAAGAACTTTGGTTATGAAAACAACATGCCTACATTCTGACATGCTACCAACAAATATGTGATCTTGATATAGCAGTAGCCTGCTAATCAGCGTCTATCAGTCAGAGGGTGCAGACTGAATCCCATGCTATCCAATTAAGTAATCAAGATGCAACAGCAATTGCTGTAGATCCCCCCAATTTCCTGAAACATGTAGCATGTACTTTACTACATGTGTTAAAAGGGTGGTTATACCAACACTTTTATTACAAGCATTTCCATCAGGGATGTTAGTATACAACACTCACCTACTGCAGAGCATTTCCATTATTCCCAGAGTATATGGTTAAACTAATCCCTTCAGAGAAATGGCAAAAGAGTGCTTATGCTTATAGTTTCAGAAATTTACTGTAAAAGGAGGAAAACCAGAAGGGAGATTTCCATTAACAAACACCATGTAGGACCCGAATTATCCTCACAGAAGAATTAGTCAAATCCAAGACATGAGTCACCCATGGCTGGAAAACCACGTCAAGTTCCTTGGTCTTGCGTCACAGAGCTCCTCTACACCTCCGAGTACTCCCCTCTATCCTGCATAGCATACCCACCATCCTACCTCCCACTTTAAGCAAAGCAACATTCTCTACGTAATGTCCTCCAACTCCACTTAGAACCAACCTTTGATACAAAAGCTAATATTTCCTATGACTACCTTCTAAATAATTATAAGCCCAAATATTGGACTCCACCAGCAGTTATGCTTAAACTGTATCAATGAACCCAAAATAAAGAATCTACTCTTATTGTATGTTATTTGTTTGTGTGTAATGTTATTTTCTGTCACACAAAGAGAAGGAAACATATGAAGATGAAAGTGAGAGAGAGAGAGAGGAAGGAGGAAAGAGAGGGAGGGAGGAAGGGAAGAGAAAGAAGAAGAGAGAAGAGAGAGGAAGGGAGAGAGAAGAGAGGAAGGAGAGAGAAGAGAGAGAGAGAGAGAGAGAGAGAGAGAGAGAGAGAGAGAGAGAGAGAGAGAGAGAGAGAGAGAGAGAGAGAGAGAGAGAGAGAGAGAGAGAGAGAGAGAGAGAGAGAGAGAGAGAGAGAGGAAGAGAGGAGAGAGAGAGGAGAGAGAGGAGAGAGAGAGGAGAGGAGAGAGAGAGAGAGAGAGAGAGAGAGAGAGAGGAGAGAGAGAGAGAGAGGAGAGAGAGAGGAAGGGAGAGAGAGAGAGAGAGAGGAGAAGGAAGGAGAGAGAGAGAGAGGAGAGAGAGAGAGGAGAGAGAGAGAGAGAAGAGAGGAGAGAGAGAGGAAGAGAGAGAGAGAGAGAGAGAGAGAGAGAGAGAGAGAGAGAGAGAAGAGAGAGAGAGAGAGAGAGAGAGAGAGAGAGAGAGAGAGAGAGAGAGAGAGAGAGAGAGAGAGAGAGAGAGAGAGAGAGAGAGAGAGAGAGAGAGAGAGAGAGAGAGAGAGAGAGAGAGAGAGAGAGAGAGAGAGAGGGAGAGAGAGAGAGAGGAAGAGGGGGAAAGAGAGAGAGAGAGAGAGGAAGAGAGGAGGAGAGAGGAAGAGGAGAAGGGAGGAAGAGAGGAGAGAGAAGGGGGGGAGAGAGAGAAGAGAGAGGAAGGGGAGAGAGAGAAGGGGGGGGACTAAAATGACTAAAAAGAGGAAGAAGGAGTGATGGAGGGAAAATCAGGAGAGGAGAGGAGAGAGAAAAAGACAGACGAGAGGAGAATGGGTAATGGGAGAGAGAAAAAATGAAAGAAAGGCAGAGAAAAAAGGGGAAGTAGGAAGAAAAATACAGAGAGAGGGGGAGAGGAAGCAAGGAAGGCCAATAGAGAGGGCAAGAGGAGAGAGAGAGAGAGAGAAGGACATGAAAAGAAAAGAAACGTGTGCATTTGTGTTTTTTGCATGCATTGCTGGAAGCATCAGTATATTTGCATACATGCAATGTGTATACATCCACAATAAAAAGAGAATGATGTAATAAGCCTGCAAATACCTATAAAATGTGACAGGCACATAAACACAAAAGCAAATGAATTATTAAGAAAACCAGCCCACAAATTCAGTTTCCCCCAAACACACTTTGAAAGACTTTTCAAGAATACCAGTGGCCAGTCCACAGTAAATTTTCACTTCTGGAACCCATCTAGTGCCATGGATTCAGAAAACTCTTATGTCAAATAAAAAAAAAAAATCGGAGATGTCCGTCTGTCTCTGTTACATACATGATCCGGTTTCTGGGTCCATTTCTCCTCCACCTCATTTTCTTCCTCTATTTCCTCCTGCTTTTCCTCCAGGACCTGTGGGCTCTCGTCTGTCTCGTCTGCCTCAACCGTTGCCAAACCCCATTCATGCTCTCCGGCAGTAGAATTACCACTAAGCATGTGGATCCACTATTAAGCATGCAGGGTTAAAGTATTGCATGACACCACATCACAATGGAGGAATGGGGATGGAGATACAAAGGGGGGAGAGGGGGGAAAAAGAAAAAGAGAATAAAGCGATAAGCATATACAGGTGGCAGGTACATTTCAACAAGGAATTATTCAGTTCAGCTTTTATCATATTCTGACAGGACTTGTAAGCAGTCACAGGTATATAACACTATTGCAAAGAAGTAATGAACTAGAGCACTAGCTTCCTACCGTGAACAGAAAAAAGCTAGATAACTATGAGTAACAATGAACAAATGAATAATATTTAGGCTCTACACTTTGCTCACTTATAAGAGAAAAAAATAAATAAAACAAAAAGCTTTGTTACCATGCATATATGTGCAAAACAAGGTGATCATGCAAAATAAAAGAAACCAAATAAAGGACAGACACATTGTGTGAAGTTTTGAATTATGTTCAGGTACCTTAGTATCATGAAGAGTGTCTTGAGAATAATTATAGTGTTACTATGTTTGAATTACCAAATCCACATCTTTTTGGATTTACATGTTTTATATTGTCTAGACTATCTTATCTGCCTACATGTGGCACTAAAATAACAATGAACTGTAGGTGGATCACTGCAGAAGAGTATAGAGTATAGAGAGCATAAGTTGGCATACAAGCCACTGTTGGCCCTTAGAGTACTGTAGTACGATAATCATACTCGCCAGGAGCTGCTAACCTGTTTGACCACGGGATTGTCAAAGGTTTGTGGGAAAAAGTTTGTATCATCGTCGGAATCGTCATCAGAGTCAAGATGATGATGCATCCCGTGAACCTGAGAGACGAAGAGTAGCAACAGCAGAAGTTCTGTGAGGTTCTTGGCCATCAACCGCCAGGATCATTGGCTCAATTTCTTAAGTGTCTAAACTTACTTTAGCCTTAGAATTCAAAGATAACTTTATTGCACCAGATTCCACCTTAAGACTAACTTAACTGATTCCCACAACTTATCCTGCACTTTCATCACTAAATCAACATTTTAAAAGAATATTCACATCAGAACAGCATAAAAAAATGAGATAAAGTAAACAGAGCTTTGATGTCCAAGGAACTCATCATACAAAGCAATGAATATCTGACCAGAATTCCCTCTTTGACATGCTCATTACACCTGATCTTGCGTGTGTTTATCTTGCTTCAAATGAATCAGGAAGAGCCGAAAACTATACAGGATTACAAGGTGAACAGCACAAGAATTAATTAGTCACAGAGGGTAATTACAATGTAACTGAAGGACTTCCAATTAACTGAATTAGTAAAGTCATAGCATCTTGCCTGATAACAAAAGCACGAAAGGTCTTGTAAGTAAAGCTTTTAATAAAGTCTACAGTGCCCTAATGCAGTGTCTTCATTAGTCATTAATATAAGCAAAGTTATGAACAATTAATTAGGACACCGAGTTGCGGCATCATCTTTAGCAGCACGGAAAACAAGGGGACTATTCACGGCTCAATACTCAGCTCTCTTCCAGTGACTTGAAAAAAAATCCCTCTCCTGAATTGCTATGACATTTTGTATTTCCATTGCAAACGTATAATTATCGGAAAATAGAATGAAAAGTAGTTTGTGATCTATTGTACCTCAAGGCATATGGTGTGGGACACTAAAAATAAAAATATTCAAACAAATTACAGCTTTACACAAATATATAAAAGCTGATAAAACATTATCAAAGCAAGAATCTAGCTTAGAACATTTCAAAGCAAATATGAAAATAACCTGCTCTTTAAAATTTAAGCACTATGTAACTAACTGATAAAGCACAAGTTCAAACACTCCAAAAATTCAAACAGCACACTTCATGCAAAATGGAAAAAAACAAAAAAAAAAAAAAAAAAAAAAAAAAATCTCAATCAGGTTAACCAGAGATGAACAAATATGGCTTCGAGAATCAGAGATCAATAAATTTGAATGAGCCAGCTACGTTCCTCTGCCTCTGATCTCTTTTCTTTTTTAGACAAAAAGACATAAAAAATGTGGTTGTTGCATCTCCATTAGTTTCACCTGATTCAAGTCACACATGGGTAGTGCTGCCATACTTACCGGAAGAGGAGTTATTTTGTTCTTGCGGTTAAGTTCTGCCAGCGCATTCGAGACAAAATCGTCCCACTGGGTGGCTTTATCTCCAGGCAGGCCCTGCAAGGAGTCAGAACACTACAAATTATCTGGGCAAGGACCGCAGACCCACTTCAGAAATGACGCAAAAGCAAAAAAATACGCTCATAACATGACAGGAAAAACAAATATTATTTTTCTTGTTAAGAGATTTTAAGGCTACCATGAAAAAAAAAAGAAAGAAAAGGTAGGCGCATTACTTTGACTTTTTCCCTAACTGCTGTATATCCAACTTTTTATTTCCGATATACAAGGCCTCTATCGTGCTTTGGATCCCCTTAAAAGAATCAAACCAAAAAATTAATTGATTAATCACAGATACTTTTCCTAAATAACACCCAAGAACAAAACCAAATAAAACAACATAAAAAAGTAAACAATCAAATACCTGTATTAGCTGCTTTATGCGGTGTTCATTTGGGCCGAACTCTGCTTGCTGTACAATGGTGTTAGCCAGTTGTCGTAAGTGCCCCATGTAACCTTTAAGATTGTGTATCTGTTTGCATCTGAGAGAGAGAGAGAAAAAAGATTATTAGAATACTCTACATAGATTTAAAGACATCACAATGAGAGAGAGGGAGAAAAGAAAAAGAAAATGAGGAAAAGAGAAAATAGAAAAAGCCGATGAAGAAGAGAGAGAAAAACAAACTATTCACATATACATCTCAAATTAATAAACCAAAATCAAGAGAATTTTTGGCTTGCTCATTCCCAACCCCAAACATCCACCCACAAATCCCAATACACTTACTCTTGTCTTTCACTGGACTCGTCAAAAGCCTCTACAACGCGCTCAATGATGCGTCCCTCGTTGAAGAGCTGCGTGAGTAACCGATGGTCTGTGTCGCCTTCTGGAGAGGATGCTGCTGGAGCCTTCGTAAGAATGGCGGTCAGGCACTGCTCCACTTGGGTGTGTAGGAAGTTGTTCAACATAAATTTGAAAAACAAGTCCTGAAAGATGAAACACTTGTTAAGATTACTGTCACTACAGACTGACAGTAATAAATGCTCAATTCAATGCTTGTGGAGTTTGACATTTATATAAAAATTAAATAACTTTTTAAGGAACTGAGTATGATTTTAGGTTAAGTTGTCTCTTTATTTTATATCTTTTTAATCTTCAAAGGATTAAGGAAATGCTAAATTTTTTAAGTCTATAATTACACATCAAAATAAAGGTGAAATAACAAAAAGAATGTTGAACTTGATAAACAACACCCCGGGAGATTGAAAAAGATAGGGAAAATAGCGTAACTACGAAGAGAATTAAAGATGATGGGGCTCTTTCATAGCCATCCACTTTACATCAGAGCAGAAGGACTTCTCAACAGATACTTATCAGACTGTCTCTACCTTGTCTGGAAAGATAACATATTCCAAACATTTGCAAGGATAACATGACTGACTTCACACAAATTATGTTCAAGAATTCACTCAGGAGGTTACTGCCTTTTTCTTTTTAATTTGCACAATTGTGAGCTATTGATCAACTGGAAGATGTACACAATGCAAAGGTATGTTGGGTATATGTCCATGGGTATCAAAACCATCTGTCACAATGCGAGGAAACTATCTTGAGCGAGCTGCGACTTTATTTCAACGAGCATATAAACTCTAAAGGAAAGAGATCAACAAGTATCTTCCATCTTGTGATTTCTAGCATAATAATAACCATACAAGAAAGAGAAAGAAAGAAAAAGAAAAAAAAGAAAGGGAAAAAGTAAGAAAAGATAGTGTAATAGATGATGAAGATACTGTTTTTTCACATCAACATATCCATGGAGTATCTTACCAACAGATATTCAACTGTATTAAGTTCATAGAGTGAATTATGGACAACAGGGTCATTGACTGCAATGAGAGCGGCGACCAGCGTCACGACTTGAAGGCGGGTATTTCCAAGGGGCTCCACTTCCTGTCCATACGCAGTAAGTAACAACCCTTTCTGAAAGATCAATTGTCATTACAATAAACGAAACTATTAGGAATAAAATTACTGTAAAATACTGTTTTTTTGTTTTTTGTTTTTGTTTTCATCTTTGCTTAATCCTTTTTTTTCCATAAAGAAAGAAAGAGGAAGAGGGGGAGTGTAACTCATTTTCTATTAAGATGTCAAAAACTATCATTTTAATGTTAATGCAACACTGAACATAGCATTTTACAATACTAAACCCCACTACTGCTACTGTCCTTAATTTCAGAAAGAAAGGATATACTTAGAAACATCCTGTAATACATTAAGAAATTTGTCTATAGTGCTCTATCGGTTTCATTTGATACAATTCTGATTTTTTTCATTTCTTTAAGCACACTGTTTACTTTCTCAGATTAATGCCCTGGTGAATACATTTCAAAAACACGATCGCACTTAACAACAAAGTATCAAAAATCACAATATACAAGATATCCAAACTCAAAAATATCCCCTAAAAACATCAAAGGGTGTTGTAATTCATTACTGAAAAAAAAAAAAAAAAAAAAAAAAAAAAAAAAAAAAAAAAATCTCCTGCTTCAACTCCCAATGGAATCTTTTCCTAGTTTGTCCAGACACAGACAAACACACACAAATAAAAAAAATCAGAACCTTGGGTGGGTGTAGTAGAATGTTTTGAAGACTTGGTAGACGTTTGGCAATAATTCTTGCAACGGCATTTTTCCTCCCATCGCTCGATTCACTATCACTTGAGTCAACGGATACAGACTGTTGCAACCTAAAAAAATAAACAAACAAAAAGAAGTCTGAGTACAAAGTGAGGATGAGAAGATTCATCAAACATCTCACATTCTGAATACCTATATCACCAAAAATGTATACAATCAACTGATAATAACAAAATTCTAAAGTAAAAAATAAGAAAGAAAGAAAAACAAAGGAAAGAAAAATGGAAAGTAACTTTTGTTTCATACGAATATCTCCAAATGGTTTCTAGCTGAAGATGAAGTTTTCCCTTCACCCTCCTTTAACTGCTTATGTTCATCCTTCTGTCTGTATTTTGGCAAAAGCACTTTGATTCTTCCCCAAGTAAAGTAGTAAAATCAATACACATTTGGCAAATACAGACCACTGAATGGCAACTCCAACTTTAGAAATTAAATAAGTAGCTCATGGTATCCTAAACCAGTCCAAATTCTTATCTAAAACAAAAGACAAAACTTTCTTACCATAAACTGGAAATAATACAAGTGTTACAAATTTGGTAAATACAAAAATACATTACCCTTGTTGCTGCTGCTGTTGGTGCTGAATCTGCTGCTGCTGTGTTCGAGCAGAAAGGAGAGTAAGCAGGATGTTGATCACGTGAGAAAGTGAAGAGTCGTTCCGGTCTTCGTGGAGGAGTAAATCTAGCAATTTATTTACTGTGTCTTCACTGGAAGTATTAAAAAAAAAATAGCTTTAACATGACAATAATAATGCCATAAACTACATTTCTCTTGTAGAGAAAGAAAGAAGATAAAGATACAATAGGACAAATCTGCAGTGTACAAAGCTTATATCATCTCCAGTAAACTTGAAATCTTTACTTCATTCCATCATATATTTAAAGACTTCATGTTTATGTCTGCTGATTAAAACTGGGGTTTTGCTTATCACAACAGAATATGGTCAACACTTTGCATTCCAATTTAGAAGTTGCCAAAATATACATTTGTTAGAGAGGGAATACAGTTGCCATCTCACCAGTATCATATCCACCTTCCTATCCACATATCCCTTTAACCTGCCCGCATGCAATTACTCTTTACCCATGTGTAAGTAAAGTTCTTGCATAAATTATATAAAAAAGTAAAAATAATAAGTAAAGCTATGAGTAGGCCAACAACATGAGAAGACACACTTGTCTGAAACATGACCATAAAATGAAGGTACATGTAGGCCAGTTGTGGAAGGAGTGTAGAGTAGTGTGAACAAAATATTACTTGAAACAAACCTCTTCCAACCAGACTACAAGGCAAGACTGTGAGAAGCTCAATAATGCATATAGAATGATATCAAGTACTTTATTGGTTAACCGGACTCCACAACTTATTTATAACCATATTAACATATAGGAATTTTCCCTGAAAAGTCTCATTCCGAAATATCAAGCATCTTAATTAATTTTATTCCCATTTAACTCCTAAACTACCAAATTGCAAATTATGCATACTGCATTAGCCATGTTTTCAGAGAGCTGGAGCAATGTCTCAGAATTATATGTAACATTCAGTTCACCAATAAGCATGACCATTCATAAATAAAAGCTATATATGCTATCATGATCCATTAGAGATAGGAAAGAAAAAGAAGAGCTTGTTGAAATGCAATATTCCATAAAAAGAAGAAGAAGAGGAGGAAGCGGAAGAAGAAGAAAGCAAAGGATGAAAGGACTTCTTGTAACTTCTTGAGGACTGCCTGATTCAAACAATGTCTAGTTAGTACTTTGTAAGAATGTATTAACAAGACTGCTCCTTCTCATACTTTGAGGTCAGAGGTTTGTTTCAATCTTTAACCCACTCACGCCGGGTACAATTTGTAGCCAAAATAAAAAAATTCCGGCGGTTACAAATCGGCGGGCGAAGCTTCCCCGGAGTCTATCCGCCTGCCCGGCCGTGCGCCGCTACTGCGTCGGAGCGCAGCCCCGATACAGCGTCACACTGGCGGGACGCCTGGCAATGTATATTTTTTCCGGTGTCTCATATATGTGACACCCGGCACGAGTGGGTTAAAAACATTTAGCAAGAGCATTAAAGTGGCATGACAGAGGCATAATCTTGAACTAATGCAAAGGGAAAAAAGGCTAAGAAAACAACAGTTTCTTTAGTAAAAATGTTTCTAAGAAGACAATAGGGAGACTATAAAATAAAAATAGGTTTACTGGAAGAGACTGATGTTCACCGCAATCTCGTTGTTATTTAGCTTCACAAACAAAGGAAACTCGACACTGGCAAACAACATTATGGACTACTTTGCTAGGTCTAACTAAACTTAAAACTTTCTAACCAGTAAATAAATAAAATCTTCCACTTAAAAAAAAAAAAAAAAAAAAAAAAAAAAAAAAAAAAAAAAAAAAACGTAAATGGCGCGAAAGTGAAACCTCCCTCACCTTTCCAGAGTCGCCAGAAGAGGATTAGTCTGCTGGTGTCCGTCGGTGGATGTGTCCCTGCAGGACGTGCTAATTTCGCACAGGAGATTGTCGGCACTGGCGTGGTCCTCTGGGTCGGCATCTGGTGATAACTTGTCTACTAGCCGCTCTACTAGTTGGCCCTCATTCAACCACTGGATGATCAAACTCGAGTCAGACTTTTTCCTCTATCTTTTGCGGAATATACATGAATGCAGCCACCACAAGACTCTTTTTTTCTTTGGAAAAGGAGTGATGTTCTATATATGTACAAACTTATGAAAATAGGAAGAAAGAGAATGAAGGATAATACTGATGATTATGAGGGTGATAAGAAGAAGAAGAAAAAAAATTAATAGAATTATCCATATATTCAGTAATCACAACAAATAGCATACAGACTACTACACTATATATCTGCAACAATATATTCAGCTTTTTCTCTTTCTTATCACTCAATTATTCTTGTGCTCTAAGTAATACAGACAGCTACAATCTCCTTCTGATACTATACTATAAACCTAAATGTTGATGGGTTTTACCAACACCAAACCAAACAACCGCTAAGTCTTCCCTGTAGTTTGTGATTTATCAATAAACTGCTCACTGATCACTGGCAAGGCCAAAAAATTGAGACTTTATAAAATACACACAACCCAGAGACCAATCGATCACCATGGCATGGATACTTTCCACCTGGGCATATGGGCTTATTGATTCATGGCAAACACAAATGCCCACTGATGCCCAAAGTTAACCTACCTACAATAGGAGCTCTCATCATCCTATTGCATGCCATGTGTAGGGCACCATCTAGAGTTGGTGGTTTCAGTGAAAAACAGAAATACGGGAAACAAATTTGCAATGCTCTCTATGCTCTTGGCTGTGGCATAAAAAAAAGATGTTTAGATAATGCAGCTACAGACAGACTTTAAACACACTTTTGAGGAGCTATTTCTCCTCAATGACTGCAGCCAATGATGAATGTTTAGCACTATAACCTGGAGCAGACTCAACTGTGTACACCATGAGCTAACATCATCCCAGCGTGACTGACGGTCTACCCACGAAGTGATAAATAAATCCTTCCTTCTTACCTTCTTAAATTTTCATTTGCAAACAAAAATACCTTCAATTTAAAGAGAGGTTATGCCAACTGATGACCTATATTCTTCATTCAACAGTGGCAGGGTCATTATTTGTGCAGTCTCCCAAAGCGAGATTTATCTCAGACAAATACTTTATAAAGTGAAGAACATCAACCCAGTCACAATAGGGCAGAAATTTACCTAGCTCTACTCATGCTACGGATGTAAGGCTTTATATATAATTTCCCACAGGGGCAACAGTTCTGCTTGTAGTAACATACCAGATATACTCTCGTTCTGAACTCCTCTGTGTAATGCATATAACATAATACGAGAGAGAAAGCCACCTGCAAACAACCCAACAGTGCTGTATACCCCAGGATGTGGTTTGAGCACCACAATCAGCAAACAATGTACTGACATCTGGCACCACAGAATTTCCAGTGCAATGGTGGCACACATAGATGAAGGTAAATATCTATTGGGCTAGAAGCAAGCAGAAATGATCTATGAAGGACCAAATAAACAAGAATCCGTTGCAACAGAGCAGAATGCAAATATCACATAAGGTAGTTTCAAATATTCACATGACAGGTTAGGGACATCAGTGATTCATCTGTTCATATGTGATAATTATATGCTATGTAATCTATCTAATGTATGCATTTCCCACAAATATTTAATTAAAATTGATCAAATAAGGGTAAAGGAATGGCATATGTCCCCCCCTGACTATCCCTAAAGAAAGAAGAAAGAGAAGGAGAGAGAGAGGGAGGGGGGAGGAAAGGGAGGAAGGGAGGGAGGGAAGGAGGGAGGAGGAGGGAGAGGGAGAGGGAGGGAGGGAGAGGAGAGAGGGAGGGAGAGGGAGAGGGAGAGGAGGGAGAGGAGAGGAGAGGAGAGGGAGGGAGGGAGAGAGAGAGAGAGAGAGAGAGAGAGAGAGAGAGAGAGAGAGAGAGAAGAGAGAGAGAGAGAGAGAGAGAGAGAGAGAGAGAGAGAGAGAGAGAGAGAGAGAGAGTGACTGAGTTAGAGAGAGAATGAAAATACAGGACAGATCCATACCCTGTTGTGAGAAACTAGATTTGCTACAAATCCAAAGTCAGATGAAAGGATTATTTTATTAGTTTCAAGGTGGACATTTGGATTTCCCTTTTGACCTTTCAACCAGACTGTATTTCTCAACTCAATCCCAATAGGTCCTTCATGCACCGCACTGGATCATGCTTAGTCAGATGCTTGACGGGAAAATTAGAAGCACAGGAAACGTACAGCTTCCACACACACAATATCATTCTGGCTGCAGCATATACATCACATGAAACATGGTTATTATGTAACTTTCAGCCCACTTTTGAGGGGCTGTAACTCTCTCCTCATGGCCAAACAGGTTGCCGTACACAACACAGAGCAGACTCAAAACATGTGGCACCATTTTTTAAAGGATGACAAGTGGAATTTGGGGACACCTTTTCTTTACAAAAAGAAGAAAAAAAAAGAAAGGGAAAATAATGACAAAAGTAATGTCATGCAAATCTCCCAAAAATATACATTTTACTGTAAGAAACTGAACATCTAGCTGATGAGATTAAGTGCAACCACAAAATGCAATAACTCCAGCTATTAGCAAGGTAACATTGATGCAAACATGGTGGAAAAAAAGAGAATGAGAGAGAGAAACACAAACACAAACAAACAAACAAACACACACACAAACACACACACACACACACACACACACACACACACAAAATTTCAATAGATAGGTCCAGTTCTCGCATGAAATAACATTCTGATCAGATAATCCACTTTGTACTATATACAAAGATGACAATGTTATTTGTACTAGCGATAGAATCTTATCCCTGTGCGTGTACTTTGAATTTTACAGAATAAAGATTTCCAGTATGAAAACCGAGTTTAACAACTTACTCTTTCCCATACGATAATAAGATGAATTCTAAGGTGGCAAACTCAAGCGGCAAATACGACTTCAACCAGGAGAAATGAGTTCACAAGAAATCAATTGGAAATGCTTAGTGTACTTTATTTGAAAGAATGTTATTCCATTTTCCAGGCTGGATGATTTTTCTTTTAAGGTTTCAGATCAACCATGCAAGTTTAATCAAATGAAATACTACACCTTGACATTTCCTAATGATTATGATGATGATGATGATGATGATGATTACGATGATAAGAAGTGAGAATATAAAGTAAAACAAAAGGTATAGGAACAAAAAAGAACATAATTAAGACACAATAATGCCATACTTTATTGCACATTCTTCAAAATCCATCACATTCAGACCTAGCACCTGGATAAAGCGGAAAATGCCTTTCACAGTGGCACCTCACACTTCCAACTCAACCTCTGCAGTAAAATATAAACAAAAAACAACAACAAACATTAAGCTTACCTGATGTACGCTCTGCCGGATTTCGTCCTCCTCAACGTTACAGATTAGTTTGAGCAGCAAATCCATAATAGCCGAGGTCCCTACATGTTGTACAGCCAGTTCAACAAAATCACCTTTGGATTTTAAAAAGTCCAATACCTGGAAGCAAGTGAACTGATAGGAATACCAGTTCTACAGAGAAGAGAAGAGAAAATACACTTTATAAGAATGTGTTGAGATGGAGCTTTTGAGACATTTTACAAGTCAGGCCTTCCCCCTTCACTTCCTTAAATTTTGAGGATAAAACAAACGAACAATCATCATCCATCCTTGTATATTCAATAGCATCATAATTCCAGAAATTGAACAAACACATTATATGCATACTAGATAATATTCAGATGACTTTAATGTGCCAATTCATCATTATCCTACAGAACACGCATGAGTATATATCTTGGACACCACAATCTAAATCTAAAGATCCTTAAAGAAGAAAGAAAATTTCAAAAGGCAGCAGATAAAAAAGGAAGCAAGAATAAATGAAAAATTACACACACAGGTATATAATTTATCATTCCTTTATAATTTTCTTTTCTATATAATTGCTTATCAGAGGTATAAGAGATGTGAAAAATAAAAATAAACATGTTTAAATAGAGAATCCAAGACAATACAGCTGTTTTAGGGGTCTGAATGCAGGCATTGTCACAGTGTATGTGCATCAAAAGCAAAAAAATAAAGAGACAATTAAGTACATCCATATGTGATTTTATAAAGGCAGGAAAGGAAGGCAAGAGAAACATCGACGACAGAGCTACCTAGTAGTCAAGGGGCGAATCTAGGCTTACATTATACTTGACAATTAAAATGACTTCACAGTAATTAATTAACAGCTCTGTGGGTAAGACTTCACAGGTGCATACCAACTACTGTACGCATTACTGCATTCTGCTAGTGTCATATAATTCTTGCAATTGATGGTTATAGAAATTCTCGGTGAATAAAAAAAATCATATGATACTACAAACAAGATGATGCCACTTCAGATGGATACCGATTCTTCACCTTAGAAGGAAAGTTTATTGCTTACCTTCACAATTTTAAACAAACTTCAAAGTTATAATCTACAGAGGGCTTTTGGAATATTTAGGAAAATGTGGCCTTTGCAAATAGTACTAAAATACATCTTAAAATTTCAACTATTCAAAACAAGAAATTTGACTTGTTAATCAAAATGAAAGCATCATCAATAAGACAGTCCCTGTAATATTTACAAGCATAAATCTTCTGTCAAGCATTACAGTCTTCCGTTCTTTGTATCTTGGTAAGATCTTGCTGAAGTGGCTGGCAATGCCAATTTAAACAGAGAACAATAAAGCTGTGAAGAGTGCATCTCCGTTTGATAAAACTACAGTCTGCAAGTCACACAGTATTTATTTTGAGTGGATTAAGGTATATAAGGTTCATACTCAAATACAAAAAATTATATACTGTTTACTTTGTACAGTAAGCTCCCTTTAGTTCAATAAAGCAAGATAGCAAAGCAATTATAGGTGATTGGCACATTCTAAGGCAAAATTAAACACCCCTTCCAAAGGCGTCTTTCAGTCTTAAGGCTACAGGTGGCTTAAAGGTGTCGCTCAAAACATATCCACATGCGTGCTCCTGGTCAAAGAGTGATGAGAAGAAGGCCCATCCTGCCCTGTGCGAGTGGGAAGGCGATAGCTCGACCGGCATTAGCAGCAGGTCAGCTAACACACAGTACTCCAAGTCAATCCCTAACCCAAACCACAAAGTTATTCCTAAATGAAGGTGCTAGAATGAGGGTCGCAGCATTTTTTCTTCTCTCGATCAAGACCTTTCTGTAAGCTTTGCAGATCTGGCATTGGAATCAGGTACGGCTGGTAATGAGAGGCAAGTCTTCAAAGTACTTTTGTCTTTTTTTCGTTTTTTCTCTTTCTATTCTTTTCCTTTAATAGCCTATATAAATTCAGACGAAAGCTTACACGCAAACCAAAACTGAATTTAAAGAAAAGTCTTGGGAGTGTCTGCAGAATCTAAGTAATTTGTCACAAGATGCTATACTCTTTACCAAAATTTACTGGTGGGCCTATGTCCAACTATTATAATAATTTTCTAGGATAGGGAATGACTATTTACTTTGAGTATTTTTGGAAAATGGAAGCAGGAAATGTCCACCTACTTCCAAAGAACCCAAAGGTAAGAAGAAATTGATTGCAAAGAAAAAGGCATAAAAAAAAAAAAAAAAAAAACTAAATGGTCAGACAACCCATTTCTATATAAATGATATTGAACTCTATAATGGAAAAATGTACAAATAAATTCTGATACGGGAAAAATAATTCTCTTTAAAGACAATTCACAAAATGAACAGAAATCAAATGGATAAAACAATTTATCTCGAAGGATCCAAAACAAATCAAACAATATTTAAAGAGTTAAAAGAAGAACAAATAAAACTCCTTGTAATGAGATATGGATCATAATATTGATAATTTTTCTCAATGATCTGAGAAGAAGCCAATTGAAAAGAAGATCAAAACAGAAACACAAGTGCGCCAATAAGTAAAGCAACATGTGTACGTCTTTGCGGAGGTGAGAGAGCTCTGTGGCATTCCGGCAACTGTGGTCTGGGGACTACGACCAAGGGTTAGGAAGAGGAGGCGAAAGATGGAGGAAGAGAGACAGGATAGGATACGAGTCAGAGAGAGAGAGCAGGGGAGTGGGGGGAGAGGGGAAAAGGGGGGAGGAATAGAGGGGTGAAGAGATGTGTAAAAAGAGAGAAAGAAAGAATGAAAGAGACAGAATTGGAAAAGGAGAAAAAAGAAAGGTTAATACTATTAAGAAGGAGAATCCTTCTGGTTTGTTTTAAGTTTTCAGTGTAATTTATTCAGTTGATCTATAAGACAACAAGCAACTCATGATAACAAACAAACACCACTAACAGTAAAATTAATACTAAAAATCATATTAAAAAAGCTATTTCTACAAAAATAATAATAACAATGGTAACTAATAATAACAACAGTAATATTGTTACAGTACTTTCAATAAAGGAAAATAAAAGCCTATATTTACACTGCTCATGATAATAAAACAATAATAATAAATGGGTGGAAAGGTTTGAAATAATTGCAAAACCAAGAACAAAATAACCCTAATGATAACAAACATCTAAAGCAAAAATAGTAATTATAATTCTAACTAAGAGTTGCTTTGCAGTTGTCCTTGTAACCCTGATTCCCTTTTTTTCCGCATAGTCCCCAGAGCCACAGGAACAGGTGTAGTATGTCTCTGTAGGAACGAACTCACCTGTTCGGAGCGACGCTGAACCAGCATGCCTAGAACCTTGGAGAAGAAGGACGCCAGCAGCGGATTAAGAGGCTTCTCTTTCTCTAGAAATCTGTGGGTGCAAGACAAGGCCCAGGACGGGTGTTAATGCCTTTGTCGACTAAGAGTTGCTGTGATACATAGTTTATACAAAGGCTTTCGTTAACAAAGAAAAGTAACATTGTTTATTGAGACAAATACTGAAAAGGTACGAATGAGAATTTTACAAAGCAAGACGATTAAGTTGTGGAAATGAATTATAAAAATGTCAAATCTTGATCTTTTATTACATAAATATTTGTTCTCATTCATTCCTTTTCATACAATGTACAAACAAAAAACAAGTCGTTTTCCTAAATGCTTCTCTACCAAATGACATAAAATGGAGCCCATCTTAGAAAAGTCAACCAAGCAATAAATAAACAATTTGTACAAGAACAGTATACATTTCATCCTAATTTCATCTTTATCCTTAAAAATCTTCAAAACAAATTTGATAAAAATCAAAACATCTAATGAAATGCTAAACCTCAAAAAGTATCAGTTTGGCTTCTAGCTCTAAATGATTGAATTCAACGCACTTTTCAGATTCAGCCTCGGCAACCTAGCAACCGTCTTTAGAAAGCTCCGAGAATGCAATGGTGAGAAGGGAAATGTGGAAGTGAAAGAGTGAAATAAGGAAGTGTCTTAGGGTGAGGCGTGTCCCGATGAGTGTGTAGGGATGATGCAACCCATGGATCTTACATTAATTACAAGAAGCAAGATTACAAAAGAAGAAAAACACTAGAAAAAAAGAAAGAAAAGAAAAACAAAAAAAAAGGAAAAGAAAAAGAAGAAAAACAAAAAAAAAAGAAGAAAAACAAAAGAAGAAGAAGAAGAAGAAGAAAAACAAAAAAGGAAAAGAAAAAGATGAAGCAAAACAACAACAAAGAAACAAAAAAAGAATCTGCTATGTTTTCTGATAGTGCATGTAAATGTAGGACTTTCAGAGTGCATGTATGTCTGACTGTGTACTTGGATACAGTTATTTATTTATTTATTTATTTATTCTTTATTATTATCATCATCCCTGTGCAAATTTACATATGTATGCACATATTCTGCTTCCATATTCTGGTCTGTGCTGCCTAAACAAACAAAACAAAACAAAGAGAGGCAGAAAAGAAAAGAAATAGAAAAACAAAATGCATTCTTAAGATATCACAAACTATACATGAAATACAAATCTACACAAAAACACTAAACTTACTTGTACAATATATCTAAGAGGCTGGTTGAAGCCACCAACTTATCAATAATAGCTGGCACATCTGCTGTGAGTAGCTCTGCAGCAAGGTTAGCATACTTAAACCGCATTTGCATCTCACCCTCTGCCGAAGGCTCATTTACTACCAAGTACACCATTTCGTCAAGGACTTCGGCTCGAGTCAAACTGCAAAAGAGTTTTAGATCATATCGTGAGAACTTGGGATTTCTTTGTTCAAAACCTGTAACAGAATACTAGTGATTAGCATTAACACAATGATCAATTATATTCACCACAGATCTTAAATGGACAAAGATAGTTACTCTTCTATGCATGCATATATAATATATATATTTATATATACATAAAATTAAAGGTATGTATGACTAAAGTTGTATTTCTAAAATTATTTACTGCTCATTTATGTTTTTTTCAGTAACATTATAATTGACTTACAATTTACATAAATGTTGAAACTATGTGATCTCGGATTTAAACTGTTTGCCAGACAGATGCTGGTGGCCACCTTCGGTACCTTTCTGTAGCTTGGAAGACTTTTCGTTTACAACTTTCCTTTTCTATTACTTCACTGATCCTAACAATTTACTTATGCAATATCATGCAAACAAATTTACAAAGAATTCAATGCATTGCTACAAAGAGGTCCCTAGGATATTTGTTACTTTGGTATCTTAAATTTCTGAAATCTAACCACAGTCAGGCATAAATTGGGAAGATCTACCTTTCCTTTCTTCAAAAGTTATATCGTCAACCTTATAAATCTGCTTCATTATGCTATTTTTCCTCGGGTATTTCACAGTCTAAATACTGTTCTCAGAGAAAAAGGAGCCGAAATGTACAGTAATTCGGGAGGCTGAATGATTTTCTGATGGAGACATATTCAACTAATTACAAATGGCTGACTTTTGCATTTTTACAGAAGTCTTACAGTTATTCTCAATACCACATGCAAGATGTTAATGGCAAATATACTCACAAGTCATAAATATGCATTACACAAACAAAAAATGGATCGACCCCCTCATACCACAAACAAAATCTTACAGTTATTCTCAATACCACATGCAAGATGTTAATGGCAAATATACTCACAAGTCTATAAGTTTTCTATTCTGCGCCTTACACTCCTGGAGGAGCTCATCCTCGTCCATAAGCTCGAATAAAGTGACATCCTGGAAAATAATGTGAAGAATAATTACCTTCTTTTTTTACAGGTTAAGTGAAATCCTAACAGAGAATCTAAATTTGATAACAATAATGATATATCTCAAGCTCACTTCAGAACTGGTTATTGAGAAAATCTCTGACAATCATTATGTGAACAAAACATAATATCCAAAAGAACAAGAAATCTCACTAATGCCATCACTACAGAGAAAAGAAATGACTTCTTACATAATCTATGTTCTACAACGCAACAAGACACTGACTTACTTCCTTTTGGAGGAGAGTCTCTATCTGCGCAGAGGAGCTAAAATTGTATTTCCAAAACATCTTCACCTGAAAAATCAAAACAAATCTGTTAATAAACATTACTTCAAATCTTGGGAGACCACTGAGAGTACAGTTCTCAATGGCCGACATTATATACAGTAATAAAAATGTCTTCCTTTTTTTCTATTATGATCACTCAATAAACCTAAACCAAATTATGCACTTGAGAGGCATTCTGTATAAAGGCATCACACAACACAATGAAACAATTCTCATAACACTCATAGTCGACACTTCTCTTATGAAAAAAATAAATCCAAATCACTAATTTCAAGAACACATGTTGCTTCTATAAGACTTCCTTCCTCTGAAATATAAAATGAACACTAGCTTGTTCTCTCTGATCACTCCATACTGAATACCAGTGCAACTAAGCTGTCCAACCCGACACAGTCCAGCCCAAATAGTATTACCTGAATACGATCTGCCTCTCAGTCACCCTATCTACTAGAAAGAAATATAAAACTGCCCCTTTTTGCTCCTCTCCTTTCAACAAACAGCAATCAAGTACTTTGAACTTCCAATAGTCTATCCTATCTTAGATTAATCCTTTTTACAAAGATCTTCAAAACCTTCTCCTTGAAATGGAGAGCTGCTAGAAATGCCTCAAATTATGCCACCTTCTCATAGACGGCACACAACCAAACAAAGAGAAAAAACTACACAGCACCCCAATCTAAGTTCACAAAGTATCTAAAATACCAATTCAGTATATACTCATACTGTAGTCAATACACTTTGCAGTATGTGGCTAAGTCGGAGAAGGCACTGGCGAGCAGTCAACCTTGGCAGAAACCCTAACAAGGAGGAGTGAGGGGTGTGTGCGACATACAAAACAACGCAATACTACTGACACTTGATTGACTGGTTACCTAAAACAATTCTGTTGTTCCTGCATCTCAGCACAAAGAAAACACTGGAATTTGTGGAGTAACAAATTCTAGTGGAAAGGGAAGTGGAAATGACATGACTACTAACATGTAAGTCTGAGAGAAATGTGTGTAGGGAAAACAATTCTGTTGTTCCTGCATCTCAGCACAAAGAAAACACTGGAATTTGTGGAGTAACAAATTCTAGTGGAAAGGGAAGTGGAAATGACATAGAAGAAAAAGGGAAGTATGGGCAATGTTCACTATAATAATAATCTTCATAATGAAAATGATGATTGTAATTGTAATAAAAAAAGTAACAATGATAACAATAAGAATAGTAACACAGTACTTACAATGACAAAAATAATTGTTGCTATTCATAATGCTATTAATAACATAATTTCTATTTCCTTGCACAAATTTTTGAAGGTCATTCAATGAGACTAATTATGAAAAAATAAATCAACAAATCTTCATTCTTCCAAAGTGTGCATAAGGTGTACAAAAAAATCAAAAGCTTGACAAGATCTGCTCATAATTCATCATAGAGCAAGACTTTCATCCCATCCACCATATCTATAATCTTTTTTTTGTGAGAAAGGGAGGGAGGGAGGGAGGAGGGAGGGAGGGAGAGAGAGAGAGAGAGAGAGAGGAGAGAGAGAGAGAGAGAGAGAGAGAGAGAGAGAGAGAGAGAGAGAGAGAGAGAGAGAGAGAGAGAGAGAGAGAGAGAGGAGGAAGGGAGGGAGGGAAGAGAGGTGAAGAAAGATGGAAGGATAAGAGGGGAGAAGGAGAGAAGGAGAGAAGAGAAGAAAGAAAGAGAGAAGAAAGAGAGAGACAGAGGAGGGAGGGAGGAGGGGAGGAGAGGGAGGGAGGAGAAGAGAGAGAGAGAGAGAAGAGAGAGAGAGAGAGAGAGAGAGAGAGAGAGAGAGAGAGAGAGAGAGAGAGAGAGGAGAGAGAAGATGAGAGAGAGAGAATGAGAGAAAAAGAGAAAGATGAAAGAGGAAAGAAAGAGAGAGAGATGAGAAGAATAAATCAATATATAAATAATACAGAATAAAAGGATGATTTAAAGACAGGGACAGTATTTTAATAACATCTATACAAGTAAAATAAAAGTACAACCTTTTCATATGGATTTTACTTATTTTCAATTCAGTTCTTTGTTGCATCAAAAACCCTTGCATAGAAAAATCAGCAACATCCTACATAAATAACTAGTTTCACTGCAAAATTCACGCTCATCACCTGTAGTAACGACCCACAGTGCTCCACTTTCTAAAACTCACGACCATGCAGCTCAAGTCACAAATCCCACCACCAGTATTATATTCATCAGAGATTTTCGCAACACACATACTACAAATAATTTGAACACTTCATACTCAA